TCCCACCGTCAGACCCTCGGCGCGGCCTCTGGCGTGCGGGGAGTCCCGCTGCCGGTTTTCCTGCTGGGAAGCGGGGAGACATGGTGGCAGCTCGTTAGTTGGGGGCGGGTGGGAGTCAGGGCGCGTCAGGGCAATACTTCCAGGAAAAGGTGCGTTGATGCGTACGTGACATAATGTTGAGCAGCGGTTCCTTTTTCCGTCATTTGCCGTGCATAATGTTTTGATGCAGGGCACAGCTCGATTCCTGGTGAAGCCAAGGGGTGATGCAGGTCGTCTGAGCAAAGCTGAGGTGCTGGTTATCTGTGGGGGGGCTTGGTAAGGCCGTAGCCCCTGTGCCGTGAGGTGGAAACACGTGTATGTGAACTGGCATGCCTTGGTAGTCACAAATTGTAACCACAGCTCGGCACTATTCAGTTAATTGCTGTGGTAGTTGTCTGAGATCACCTCATCAGTTCTTTTTTTTCCTCTCTGAGGAACACAACTGTTACAGTATTCTGGCTATGTGCACAACTACCTTCATGGGGTTAATTTCCTCACCCAGGGGCAGTTTAGCAAAGGCTTCATTTTTTTAGAGTGGTTCCCTTAGGCTAGCTACATGATGGCAAGGTTACTGCAGAAGGTTACTGATAAAGCAATCTGTGTCACTGTTAAACTTTTCTGCCAAGGCCTGCATAGCTTCAGTGTACTGTACTATTCAGGGAGCTATATGGTCAAAGTCAGGTAATGGTGTGATGACCAGTCAGTTTATTTTTTGTGAGAGAAAACAAACGAATGACAGGTATGTTCTGCAATAAATTCAAGGTTTGTTAGGTTCAATAACTGTTCCTCGATAGATGCTACCTCAGAATGTTTTACTGAGTGTGGCAGGAAAATATAGGTTGTGAGAGGATTCTGTCCTACCTGCTGTTGTGGTGGTATCAGCTGCTGCAGAGAGCTGGCATTTATGATTGACAAGTTTGGAAATGTATTGACACATTCTTTCAAGGCTTTTCCTTATGTAGTGTTGCCTGCTGTTAACCATTGAGGAAACCAGGTTATGAGGTTTATGTATGTGGTAAGAATTGATTAATTCTGTCATGCTATGTCTGTGTATTGCTGAGTATAAATAAACAGACAGAATTACTCTGAGTCTAGGTAATGAAGTAAATATGCTCCCTGTGTTCAACCTGCATACTTACTTTGTTGTGTAATGTTAGATAAAGAATAAATGTCCTGAATAGGTGTTGTGCAAAACAGGCGTTGGACAAGCAGTGTTACCCAAAATAAATTTTCAAGGACTCATCTTTTCTTCTTGACTGCTGCAACACTGTCTCCTGACTGTGAGACAGCAGAGTGAGGTCCTGTAAGTCATGGCTATCCTACAGTTGAGAAATCTGCCTGTTTGCTGACAGTTGATGTTGGCAAAGGAGGTTTGGGAAACTGCTTAATTGCAAAGGCACAGCCTAATCAGGATTTTAATTAGAATAAGTCAGACTACGCTGGTAGATCAGACTTGGGCTGGTAGAAATTGTGGGCAATCTGAAGTTTAAGCAAACTGATTTTGGAAAAAGACGCAAGTAAATAGTTAACTTCCTGGAAGCAGTCTTTAAGGTTAGATTGGAAATTTTGGAAGATGATAAAGCTTAGTCCTCTGTTTCAGTTGTTCCCTGTTCTTGTTAAACTGCAGACACTGTTTGTCAAAGTTGTAGATAACCAAGCAGTGACTCTGCCAACCTAGAGTGCTGCTGTACTGTGAACTGCAAGTCCTGCAGTTCCAACATGCTGCACTAGAATCTCACCTGAATAGAAGAGGGACCCTGGGGTCATAATGAAAGAAGGGACCATTTGAAAGGAATGTGTGTTAAACTTAGAGAGAACTGTAAGTTAAAATTGTTCATCTTTCTCCTCCTATGGACACTAATGACGATGCTTATGTTATTGATGATGATCCTTCAGTTCTTATGATTGTCATGGATACAGCCTAGAATGCTGGAATCCAATCCACTGACTTGAACTATGACTGGATTAAAAAAAAAAAAAGACAAAACCCGCCACCTTAACTCTACTCTCCTGCCTCTGTATTGTTGCCCTTTCTTCCTATGTTTTCCTTGCTGTCTCAGTCAGCCCTATTTTGCCTGGCGGCAATCTGAAAAAAATTCAAGATTGCCTGAATGAGTGTGACTTGGTGATCCATTGGTACGTGGATTTTTCCCATCAGAGTAATATTTTCTTTTTATATACATGAACACTTATTTATATTTATTGGTTAGCTGTGACATGATGCGAATCTGCAGCTTGGGAGGTTTGTCTGTATGTTTTGAACCGCAGTTCACACCAGCAAATTTAAACTGTGGCATTGCAGCTCCCCAATCTGAAATGAAGAACATCTGCTTTGCTTAACTGGAAATAAAGGCACATTTGCATAAGTGGGTAATGTTTAATATTTGAATCAATGTGTAAGAAAAAAATCATATGTGCTGAGCAAAAGGCTGCCTACTCAGACTGTGGTTGCTTTGTCTGTTCCTGCATGTGCATCTTTCTCTAAAACAAGAATCCTTTAAAGATCCTGCAGCTGGTCTAGTGGTGAGGCAGAGGCGAGGAGAATGCATTGGTGGGATAGGCAATTAAAGCATTAGCAGGCTGCTTTCCACTACTACGCCGGCTTTTTCAACAGCAACGGGGCTGAAATTAGAATTTTTCAGGGTGGTTTGGGGGAGATTATAGGTATTGTGTGCTTTGAAGTGGTGCTCTTAGTCCCAGTCTAAAGAGCGTCAGGCCTGTGCTCTTTAGGATGGAAGCAATCTGTCTTGCTTTCTAACTTGAGGTAGTGTGGTCAGACTGAGATCCTTGGCTGTTTTCTTTGTCAGAGGGTTACGTAAGACTTGGTGTGTGTGGGAAATTCAGTCACTGGGAAAACTTGTCTCATGGGACAGATATGGATGAAGCTTTGTGATAAGATCTGTTTGTGGACGCACATATGTTCCAGGATTTTGCTAATGAGTATCGTCACTTGGTTTTTGTTTTGTATGAATGTGTACTTATTCTGCAGTTCACTGGCATATCTGAGCTCTTTCGTAGTTTTTTTCCTTTCTCATAGGAAGAGTGCTTTGCTCATTTAGGAATAGAGCGGCATGATGTCTGCAAGACCCTCTGCTTTTGGGCGCAGAGGTCTACATATCTTCAATAAAAACTAAATCTGTCATGCTGCTTCTCTGTGCCCTGACACAATGTTACAGGTTCACCTGTCTCAGAAGTTTCAGTTTGCTGACCCCTTACTTGTGTCTGGGCTTTTGCTTTCGTTGTAGCCACGGGAATGGGTTGGAACTGCATCTTGTGCTCTGCGCTGGAGATCATAAGAGATTTTTAAAGTAACAGATTTTTAAGTTTTTTTTTTTTTATTAACTTGTTTCTCCACAAGTATGTCACTTCCCTTAAGTCAGACCTTACTTCTCCATTTTTTGCCTTTCCCACTTCTATCTTCATAAGTCCTTCAGCATATCTTTCTGTGGATGCCACATTTCCCAAGCTGGTTGGGACTAAACTAACTAGTCATATACTTAATTAGTCGCATGAGCTAACTTGCTCTGGTTGCACATGCTCCCTTTTTCAGTTCATTGATTTGTCAGATTTGCTTGATTGGGCTTAAAACACACCGTGTGTCCCGTAAAGTGGCCGTGTCTTGTCAAACTTCAACCCTTAAATCTAACTTTAATTCCTTAGAATGCAGGCATGCCTTTTGAAAGGATCTGAGGATTAGGTTAGTCTAACTCCATCTTGGGACTTGCCATGAAACAGTAAACCAGTCTGAATAGATTTTGACTCAGGGAGCAATTTATGTCAAGTTTAGAGCATTGATTCAGCAATCACTAGGTCTTGGTTATTGTTTTAGGTCTAATAAGTAGTTCACATGCCTTCCAGCAACAGCTGGAAAGTTGCAGTTATGGTAGTGTTATGGTTGGTAAAGCAAGGTTATGCTTTCAGCCTCATTGTGACCTCCAGCTGTGTGCCCTGCAGCAAACAGTCCAACAGACTTCTCTCTATGATGGAGTCTGCTACATGGTTCCCAAAAAATCCAACATGGCTTTAAAAATAGCTTTAGTTTGTGATTGATGGATGTAAAGTATGGTAGCTCATTCAGTTCCAACATGGAATAAGAAGAGAAATACATTTCAATTAATGCCACAGTGGTCTCTTGGGTAGCTTGTATGGGAGTGTCAAACCAGAGCCCTCTGTCCTGTGGAATACCAGCCATTCTTTCCTGTCATGGACAAATGAACTGTCAACCAAGGAAAACAAATTATTTTGTACTTCTACTCTAATTTTCAGCTTTTCATACAGTTTATGTGAAAGTTTTGTGCTTCCCCTGGAATTCTGTGTGCTTTCAAATCAATGCTTGTGACAAACTTGCAATTCTGGAATGTGATAGTAAAGCACGTTGCTATTTTTCTTTCCCATTGCACACATCTGTGCAAGTGCTGCTGTTCTGTGTTCGTGCTCCATGGAGCATGCTCCTTTGCAGTATAGCTCTGACAATGATCCTTCTACACTTGATTTTGATGTAGCGTGGGGTCGTTGCTGTGAGGTTTTGTCTTGTCTTGGTTTTAAATGTTCATGTTCTTTCTCCAGGATATGTGAATGCACGACTGGAGAAGGAAACACCAATATTTAACAAGCAAAGGATTGATTTTGCTCCGCCAGAGAAAATTAACAGCTTAGTAGTCTCCTCTAACCAGCTCTGTATGAGCCTTGGCAAAGACACCCTGCTCAGGTAATGCTGCCAGAGACATGAGCTTATTGCTTATCTTGTCTGTCTTTTTTTTTTTTTTTTTAAAGTTAGAGAACTTGAAATTTCAAACTGGATAAGAAGCCATGAACTCAATATGGAAACCAGTAAACAATTACACCTACATGAATGTCTGTTGGAAGCCTGCTTTCATGATTTCTCTTTGCAGGATTGATCTTGGGAAGCCAGATGAACCTAATCAAGTAGAACTGGGACGCAAAGATGAAACCAAAGTCTACAAGATGTTTTTGGACCACACAGGTGAGGCAGCAGACTGTGTACATTTACAGACAGCGGTTGGCAGCAGATCCGATTGGGTGTGCGTAACAAGCACTGGTGAAGGAGTTCTCTTTCTGTTCTGTAAATCAGGAGAACCCGTGGTTTTTCTGTGGGTGGAACTCCGTTGCCCAGGGGCCCTGCCTACTGTTTTGCCCCTGTACTAGTAGAAAAACATTGGCTTGTTGTGTGGCTGTTGTTGCTTTTGAACTCCCTGAGATGAACATGTGCAATTAGGCTGTTCTGAGCAAGGCTGCTAAAACCAATGAAAGGAAACCGTTGCCGTCACTTTGTGCTGTGTGTGTTCCTATAGTAATCTTTAAGAAGGACTGTAAAACATCTGCAGCTCACTGTAGCTTTGACTGATTTTAAAAAGCAAAACAGAAGTTTAGGAAGAGATGCCCATATCTGTCACTGACTGCCAGGGATAGGAGAGAACTCTGGGAACTACTCTTAGAACACTCATTCAAATGGAAGAATACCTTCTTGCTGAAGCATCTGGGACCAGTAAATTAAGTTTGCAACATAGGGACTACCATTAGGATCCAGTATGGAAATCCCCCACATTCCTATAAATGCTTGGAAGAGTCTTGGATTAAGTATGTTGATATCAGAGCTTATCAAATGTGAGGCTTAGAAGCCTCAGGAATTTGGCTTGCTTAGGCATAGTCTTGACGTGTTCTGTCATTCTCCTTCCCATACCCCTCTTCTGTTGGCAGGCTCTCATCTCCTGATTGCTCTGAACACAAGCGAATGCCTTTACTTGAACAGAAGTGTTCAGAAAGTGCGAGCACTCTCCCGCTGGAAAGGCCACCTGATTGAAAGCGTGGGCTGGAACAAATTTCTCGGTTCAGAGACCAACACTGGGCCGATCCTGGTGGGAACGGCCCAGGGGCACATTTATGAGGCTGAAATTTCCATCAGCGAGGGAAGCCTCTTCAGCACTAATCCCGACCAGTACTTCCGACAGGTCTACACTCTGGAGGAGGAATCGGGACCTGCCCCCGTCTGCTGCTTGGAGATTGAACGAGGGATAGAAGGGAAGTTTTTTATTATAGCCACCACTCGAAAGAGACTCTTCCAGTTTGTTGGCAAAGTGCCTGAAGGGACAGAGCAGCAGGGCTTCAGCTCCATATTTGCTATGCATGCTGACCATTTGCCCAGCTTTCGGGAGTTCCCGGCCAACCTTGGTTTCAGTGAGATAGCCTTTTACACCCCAAAACTGCGCTCCAACCCACGCTCCTTTGCCTGGATGATGGGAAATGGTGTTTTATATGGTACCTTGGATTATAGCCGTCCTGATTCAATTCTGAGTGATGAACGGGTCTGGGTTTATCCTTCTGACATCGACATAACAGTGAACAAGCCGATCTCCATTGTACTTACCCAGTTCCACTTCCTGTTGCTGCTGCCTGATCGGGTGAAGGCTGTGTGCACTCTGAACGGGCAGGTGGTTTTTCAAGATCTCTTCCTGGAGAAGTTTGGCTTATTGACACGCATGATCAAAGATCCTACAGTCCATCAGATATGGATCCACACTGAGAAAGTAGTGTTCCGCTACCACGTCCAGCGGGAATCTAGAGACGTGTGGAAGATGTATATGAATATGAACAAATTCGATTTAGCCAAAGAGTATTGTAAAGACCGTCCTGAGTGCCTAGACATCGTGCTGGCAAAAGAGGCAGAGCACTGCTTCCAAAACAAGAGGTATCTGGACAGTGCCAAATGTTATGCGCTGACCCAGAACTACTTTGAGGAAATTGCTCTTAAGTTCATTGAAGCCAAGCAAGAAGAGGCCCTGATGGAGTTTTTGATTAAGAAGCTAAGTAACCTAAAGCCTTCTGAGAAGACACAGACCACTCTGCTGACCACGTGGTTAACTGAGCTGTACCTGAACTGGCTAGGTATATTGGAAGGAGATCCCTCCCAGCGAAATCTCTATTTAGATACACGGGAGAAGTTTCGCACTTTCCTGAGCAGTCCTAAAAACAAAGACTGTCTGTTTAATAACCGGGCATCTATTTATGAACTGTTGGCAAGCCATGGGGACACAGAGCACATGGTCTACTTTGCAGTCATCATGCAGGACTACGAGCGTGTAGTTGCTCACCACTGCCAGCACGATGAGTACGATGAAGCTCTAAATGTGCTGTCCAGGCACAGAGATGAGAAGCTGTTCTACAAGTTCTCTCCAGTCCTCATCCAGCATATTCCCAAGAAGGTTGTCGATGCCTGGATTTCTATGGGCTCTAGACTGGATGCCAGGAACCTCATTCCAGCCCTCGTTAACTATAGCCAGAGTGCCAGCACCCAGCAGATCAATGAAGCCATTAGATATATGGAGTTCTGTGTCTATCAGCTGGAGGAAACGCAGCAAGCCATTCACAACTACCTGTTGTCTCTTTACGCTTTGTGTCGGCCGGACTCGCTGCTATCGTACCTGGAACAAGCAGGAACCAACCCAAACAGGATCCACTATGACTTGAAGTACGCGTTGCGCCTGTGCGCGGAGCACGGGCACCACCGTGCGTGTGTCCATATTTACAAAGTGATGGAATTATACGAGGAGGCTGTGGATCTCGCCTTACAGGTACGTGTGTGTCTGTGCGTGCATACTGTGATGTATAGGAGTAGAGCTTCTTCAAGTTATCTGGAACCAAGCGAGCATTGAGAGGAACTGGACAGACTCATGGGTATAGGAGCTGTGCAGCTACGTCTAGGAGGAAAGACCTGTCTCTCTTACCACACTTCAGTTGTTTTTAGTAGACAGCTGACTGTGACAAGCTGTAACTGAGAGTAGGTGTGTAGAAAGTACAACAGGGAGTGCTGCCTGCCTTCAGCTCAGTCTCTAACGTAAAATACCTTACACATATCTGCATTTATGCAAGACTTGTTTAGCTATTGTTCAGGATTCTGATTACTTCCTATTCACATCTGTGATACTTATCACAGAAGAATGCCTTTGTCAGCTTAGACTGACCTTCAGGGAGATGTTGGATTTTTTATTTTTTTTCTCTTGGCATTGTTATGTCTTTGCTGAAAAGTGTGGCCAGCAAAGATACTGTAACATGGATTTGCCCTTATTGTAGTGCTGGGCTTTGTTCTCTGCTGGGCAGCAAGCAAATCTTCAGGGAGGAATACTGGTGCAGAGGTGAGAGGTGTTTGACGTGTAAACAAGGAGCTGGCCAGTAGTGCAGCTCTAGGCAATGAGATAGCAGTGGAAGTTTTTTATTAATGCCTCCTATAATGGACAGCAGACTTTGAAGTTGAATGATGGATAAACAAAGAGGGAAGTTTAACTTGATTTCCTCGTCTGTTTAAATTCTAGGTGGATGTTGATCTTGCCAAGTCCTGTGCAGATCTTCCTGAAGATGATGAGGAACTCCGGAAGAAGCTCTGGTTGAAGATTGCTCGCCACGTTGTTCAGGAAGAGAAGGACGTCAAGAAGGCAATGGCCTGCCTCTCCAGCTGTGCCCTGCTGAAGATTGAAGACGTCCTGCCGTTCTTTCCAGACTTTGTCACTATTGACCATTTCAAGGAGGCAATCTGTAACTCCCTGGAGGACTACAACAAGCACATTGAGGAACTGAAAAGGGAGATGGAAGAAGCCACACAAAGCGCCAAGAGAATCCGTGAGGATATCCAGGAAATGAGAAATAAGTATGGCTCTGTGGAACCTCAGGAAAAATGCGCTGCTTGTGATTTTCCTCTTCTAAACCGCCCTTTTTACCTTTTCCTATGTGGTCACATGTTTCACTATGACTGTCTCCTCCAAGCAGTTTTACCAAACCTTCCTGCCTATAAGCAGGCAAAACTTGAAGATCTTCAGAAGAAGCTGGCAGCTACCAGTCAGCCTTCCAAGAGCCACCATCGTCCCAAGGACATGGATACCATTAGCTTAGGGAAGGGGCAGCAGAGCCGGGAACAGATCAAAGCTGACATTGATGATATCGTGGCAGCTGAATGTGTGTACTGTGGTGAGCTGATGATCCGATCCATTGACAAGCCTTTTATTGATCCCCAGAAGTACGAAGAGGAGATGCAAAGCTGGCTGTAGTTGTCTAAATCTGCAGCTGTCAATCCTCTAGAGTGGTTTTGTTCGCAACTTGTGAAGCGTCTGTGATGGGAATATAACCTCCAGAAGCAGGAACACAGTGGGTGCTGTGGAACTCTAAGGAAATAGAGTAGTGAGGTCGTGTTATCAGGATTACAGTGGACTAATCTTGACAAACAGGGAGATATAGCGGTGGCTGTCTTAAGAACTTGAACAATTGTTAGAGCTAACCTACTGGAATATATTTAGCAGATGTTTGCTGTTTGCAGTTCTTCTGAAGTTCTCGGTGTGAAGCTAATGGAGTGCCTTGTTGTCCAGAAGGAATTGGGAACAGCCTAGGATTTGTCTTCCCTCTTGTGTGGTATTTGTTTTGGTGAAGACAAGCTTAAAGGGAAAAGTAGAGAAGAACACTAAGCAGTGTAGTCTTCATCACTTTCAAAGCTAGAATTGCCTTCTGTTTCCTTTTTACTGAGAGTCTATAGCCATGTACATGGAAAGAACATGAAAGGACAAATGCTCTTACATACATATTTTGTAGATGTCATGTTACACAAATACATGTTTCTACACAACATAATATAAGAATGAGTATAATTTTCAAACAGGAGTGTCTCATAATACACTGAAGTTATTTGCCTGCAATTCAAGGTCTATAATTTTCTTTCCAACAAGTCCATACATTTGAATTTTCTCTAGGTTCTGTTTCTGGAAATACTTCCTAGCCTGTTCACCACTTCCTCCCTCTCTCCATCCTGTTTCTACTATGACTGTCTTTGTATAGTAGGTCTTGGTTTTGTGTTCACCCCAAACTAAAACTGATATATGCAGTAGTAAGGTTTCAACTGCTACTCTGCAAGCAGAAACACAACTTTGTTTGTATTGTCCTGCTGTGGTCCTCTTCAAGCTGCACTTGAGCACTAGACTAGAGATCTTGTCATAGGTTCCCTCAAGGGTAGACTTAGAGAAAAGTTCTGTTGATGTGAAATTTGTTTTGCCATTTGAAGCCAGTACCTTGGCACCAGGCAGTCTTTTGCCTTCCTGACAGTATTTGATAGCAACTCGATATTCTTCTATTGCTCTGACTTGGAAAAATTTTCCCAGGGGATGGTAACCACAGCATTGTGGGTGAGAGAACAAAATACTTTCTTAGGGAATGTAGCAGGGTTTTAATTTTTCAAGAAATTAATATTGTAATAAAGGTTTAGCTCCTTGGGGCTGCTACTACAAAGGTAGTAACTGGCAGAACAATGGAATGGTCCGAATGAAAAATTATGATTCTTGTAATTAAGGGAATGGAAGATACTGTCTTCTGAAAAACCTCTTTGGTTCTTTCACATGAATCTATGTGCTTGTCTTGAGTCCCTCTCTCAATCTGCTAGTCACCCTGTTTGTAGCGTGGTAGAAGTGGATTCTCACATCACTGACAGGGAATATAAATTGGTTTCCTCAAGGAACTGACCTAATATTATGATAACCCTTCAGAGCTCTGGAAGAATGTATTTTGTTGCGAGCTTCAGCCTGGAATGAATTAATTTTACCTGTGTAAAATGACATGAGTAATAAAAAACAGAGCTGGATAGTAGGAAGACCTGAGGTTTTGAAATCCTCTTTTTGTTGGAGCCATGGGATACGCAGTCTCATCACCACCCAGCTGGCTTATCAGAAACCGGTGTTTCAGTGGTTCGGAAACCCCACATGCTCTAGTTTTCTTTGGCTCTGGATACCTCCTGTTTGGGTAAGTCGATGGGTCTGCCAAAGTATTTGTGATGAAAACTAAATGTGATGTCTTCTGAAGTTCAGCATTAAACCTGTTATAACTGGCCGCTCCTGGATCATCATCTCTTCATGTGAACAGTGTGATATTTAAGGTTGTGTGTGTCATTCTAAAGCAACACTGGCCTGCCACCCAAACCAGTTGCTGGTCAAAGGCAAGTGGTTGTTTTTTTGACCTTTAGTAGAGACGTGAGTAGCAGTTCATTCTGATGCAGGGAGTAATTTCAAGTTATTTATTTTCTTTGAGACATTTTTTAATACTTATTCTATCTCTTTTATTTTGGGGTTTTTACAGAATGATTTCCTGGTATATTAGATTATTATAGTCCTCCATTTTTTCCCTTTTAGCACTACAGAGCGCAGAGATGTTTCTGTTGTGCTCTGAAGAATAGCAATATTATTTGCTTATAGACCATTCCAGGGAGATCTGGTTGTCCATATTATTGAAAGAAGCATGTGTCTGTGGGAACTGAGGCATAGCAAGTAAATAAAAACCCTCAGGTCTTTGCCTGAGATGAGGTGGTCGGGGAAGGCACCCCAAGAACTTACTGATTCCAGTCTTAAGCATTAATATGCCTCAGTTAACAAAACTAGGACTTTTTTTTTTTTTTTAAGTATGTAACATTCCGTGGGGGCTATAGACTTGTACACCAGAAACAAACATGACAAATCTCGTGCTTCCTCACCATTGCTAACTGAAAAATCTTTTAGGTTATTTGCTGTCAAGGCTGTGGAGAGTGTTAGCGCCTGAAAAAACTCCAGCAGTGATTTAGTGACTACTGCCAGTCATACAGGAACCTACGTAAAGGTAGCTTCTGAACTTTCCTTACACTGTCACATGCTTCAAAAATTTCAGTAACCATTCACCTGTGCTTCTTGGCAGTTTTGCAGTGAAAGAAACAAGAGGGTTTTTTGGGGGGTGGAGGTAAGTGAATTGCTCACTGTTCTCACATAAATCTAATCTGCGGAATCTCTTCCTCTTGGCTTTCAGAATAGCATTTTTATCTTTTTTCCTTGTAATTTTGGCACAATCACATTTTAGAAATCACAGTCCTTTGTATGTTTTTTAAGCTGTGAGTGAGCTGTGTACCAGCTGTTACAGATAACGTGGCCTTGGGCCTTGTCCTTGCCTGTGTGAATAATCCCTACCATGTAGTTTATCGCGGCTTGAGAACAGCATAACCAAAAGGGTGGGATTTACGCTGAAGAAATTTAGTTGTGTAGGTAAGGCCTAAAGCAACAGACTTGTTCCTACTACCTCACCTCTCCTAGGCTTCAGGCAAGGGGTTGGGAAAATGCTGTGAGCTGGGGGAGACAGCGATGAGGATATGTTATGGAAGTGTTTGTAGGGAATTTTGGATGCACTTGCTGTTGGTCTGTGTAGCTGGAAGCAGCTAAGTGAAGCGCTGAGAGGTGAGTGTTTTGTCTCCTTTTTAAAAGTAATTGGGCTGGAAATTTAGGAAGGCAAATTCTGAACAAGCCACTAGATGTCGTCGCTGCCATTTAAATGCTGAGGTTTGCTGCCGCGAAGCTGAAGGTATTTTCTGGTAGAAGAAAGAACAAAACAAAAGAAAGAACAAAACAGTGAGGAACTGAAGCAGGTTCCCGCTGCCTGTGGAGGGGGCGGGGGTGGAGACACCTATAAGGTAGTTGTTGGAGGCAAAGATGCTGAAAAATTGTCTCTAAAAGACAATTTCAGTTCACAGATTAGTTTTTTGAGTATTAAAACCTGGATTGATTCTGTTAACAAATGAGTCTCAGTCCTTATTTGTTTAATTGCATTCTAGTGTAAGTTCTTATGGACCTAAGTGAATTTAGTAAACTGTTGAGAGATCAGCCCTAGACTTAGAGTTGCAATATCTGGTGGCCTCAGGTCTGACCATTCTGAGTTGCTTCCCCTTCACCCTGTCCTGGCAGCAGAGATGGTAGATGTGAGCCAAGTGTGTTTTGTGAGAAGCACCAGAAAAGCTGACTTTGTAATACAATATTGGACACTGACTTGCATGAACAGAGAAGTTAGTATGTTTTCTTTTTGCCTCTGAGTTGTGGGGTCATAATCCAAGGAAAGGGCCAAGTGGGAGCAGGAACATCTTGTACTCCATCAAAATTGGATGTTGTAGTTTGACTGTAGTTGTGTATTAGCATGTAGTACTTGAAAGGGGTGGTTCCCATTCATACTGCCCTGTCACTGTCAGCCTGTAGATTATATTCAGAAGTGCAAATACTTCTCTTCTAGTGGGAGTTCATGCAAAGTCTTTTTCCTTGTATCGCTTCTTCCTTCATCAACCCTGTAGTGAGCTGTGGTAAGACAGACTGAAAACGTGCCTCTTCCTTGCAACAGGTATGCTGAGCTGAAGTTTGAGGTTTGAAATATACAAGAATTAGGGAATTTTGGATTTTTTTGAGTTATTTTTATTCAGATAGGTTGAGTCCTTTTCTCCAGAATAGATGGAGTACCATGTTATTCACTGTTGTAACGTTTGTGAAAGAATTTTACAGCATCCTCAAAGAGAGATGCTGGCCAGGATCTCCTGCCCTTTTGTTACATGATGGAAGGGGTATCCTAGAAAGGAGAGGGAATGGTGGTTTCTATAAAATCATTTGACCTAACTTTATATATCTTACTTTAGAGAAGCTTCCCCAGTGGAGCCGCAGTATTGGCGGATTTGTAGTTTTCACACTGAGGTGCTGAAGAAGAATAAGCTCATTTCCTTTAAAATAGTAATTTTGGTAAAATTGAAGAGTGTAGGGATTGAAAGAGGAACATTACAGGAACACCTTAAATTTGCAGTGCGTTGTATGTGCGTTTAGCTCCTACACTATCTGCTGTCTCTGATGACGCCCAGTCTAGATTTTACACCGTATGAGCCCTCTAAGATTTGAGCTTCATGGCTTTATTGTCATTCTGGAGACTCAGGATACTTCGCCCTCAACTCAGCATTTGGATTTTTTCACTCCCAGATCTAGTGGAAAGGCATCAGGCTACTTATTTGGAGTATGAGCTGTAAAGCAACTGCCCTGCAGCTGCTTTCAGGTGGAAGGAGGGGAAAAACATTAAACAAACTTGTTAGACCTACTTGTTGAAACTGGTTGGGGTGGAGAGAAAAACGGGCTCGAGTATCTCCTCTCTGCAACGGCCCAGAGGTATTGGAGGCAGCTTGTTTGAGTAAGGCTGGTGGTTTAGAAACAAGGAAGCTGCAGGAACACTCCAAGATTACAAGTACAGCTGTAACCGATCCTACAGACTCTTTCTGTCAGTGTGGGGCAGCTCAGCACAGGACTGTTTCCAACTTGCAGCAAGTCAGCCTTGAGTTCAGACTCACAGAGGTGCTTCGTGGCCCCTCTGGTGACGGCTGTAGAGCTATTTGAATTCAGCGCTTGAGCTGCAGAGCTTGGCTGGTGTGGGAATAAGCACAGCTGATGTGTGTCTGTATGACATCAGGCCATCTCACTGCATGGAGATTTTCATTATATGCTTCCAAAAAACAGAAATACTGTTGGTTTTTTTATTTTATGAAGGGATGTGCATTTTGTATTTGATATGTGTCAGGCCGTAATTTCGACACTTCCTTGCTTTGCAGGGGCTTGTGTGTTC